GAACTAGAAAGGAATCGCATGCATCGTCTTGTACGTTTGTTTGAATTATTTTCGCAATTACTGTCACTTGACTGATCTGCAACGGTCTTATGATTCACCCGAAATCATACATTTCTTTGTGGAAACATGCACCAGTCATTTTGACTGGTACTGGTATAAATGTCAAAAAAAAAAAAATATTTTTTTACCAGTATATAAAAAAAATAAATTCTTTACCAGTATATAAAAAAAAAAAAAATTCATAAAATGTATTCTCTACTTATAGCTACAAAAGTCATAACATCAATTCGGAAATAAAATGTTATATGTAGTAGGAATTTTGAATTGAAATTGTACGACCAGTCAAAATGACTACTCTGGTAAATCTAGTGTTAAAACTTGGATGAGGGTGACCGCTTGAGAAAAAAAAAAAAGAGGAAGAAGAAGAGAAGAATTTTTCAAGCCGTAAATTTGAAATCGGTTTGCCCGCGCATCGTAAATATCCGACAACTTCTCGTGGTGTAGATTTTTCGATCGCATCGTAAAATTCACTCTCATCACTTTTTCCCAAACGCCCCAAAAGAAGTATAACTTCAAAAAATAAAAAGTGAGTGTGTCAGGCCCGACACGCACTTTTTCTTTTTCCTTAAGAACGATTGTCTTTGAACAGGTAAAGAGAGAAAGAGAGAGAAGAAAAGACTTACTAGATTAAAAAAAAGACCGATAACATATTGGAACTAGAAAAACCTGTCTTTCTATAAATTTTCTTGAATTAAAAATTTTTTTCGAGATTGAAGTAAACCCTTTTTTCTGTGCAGTAGGTAAAAAGGGTAAATAAACGTATCCATTAAAATTCTTAAAGAATGTATATATATTTTTATTCTATTTACATTTTTTATGGCTATTCGGCAAAATATTATACATCAATCATTTTACATAAATATATCTTACATATCGTACATAAATACATTGTTATAGGAAGGTTGACTTATTCATGTTATTATTATTATCTTAACTATTATTATCATTTTGAATATTAATTAGATCAATAGTGTCGTCATTATTGATCACTGTGACAAGAGGTTTATGATAACTAAAATACGACACATGAACGTCTGTAGATACGTGGTTTACGAATCGTGAAAACACCGCATCAATGGTTTTACCATACCTCGTCGTCCTCAGTGTTTTACCAGAAACAAAATCCAACTTAAGTTTGGATTTTAAAAATTGTATTAATCTCAATCTCCCCGTCATCTTTTTCAAAATCAATAGTAAAATCGTTGCCAAGTATGAGTGGAAGTGATAGACAGGAAGTGGAAGATGACATTGTTTTCTCAATAGTTTTGATCTACCTTCTGTATAAGCTAACAATGTCTCGTGAATGAAATCTATTACATCAGTAATATTTTGATTGACAGAAATATAAATTGTAACGGTAACAATGTGATTACCGTTAGGCAAAGTACATCTCGCGGCACATATGTCTCCCGAATTAGAACGTATTTGGCTAAAGTGTTGGGCATTTCTTCTTAATAGTCCAGTCAATAAAAGAAAAACTGACCGAATTCTGGTACCTGGCCAAAAACTTGATATAATGGTAACTCGACGACGCTGAATCGAATGGTGCTATTTTTTTTGCAATCAGATTCCCTGGTAATGAGAAAAAGAGTAAAAGAAGGTAAAAAAGGGTAAAAAACAGCCGTATCTTAGAATCTAGGCATTAAAGCCAAAAAAGTTTCAAACAAAAGTTGTAGAGAATTGAAAAATACATAAAAAATGTTCTTCGTATTTGCAAAAATAAGCAAGAAAATAAAGGTGAAAGGTAATTATAAGAGAGGGGGCAAGCTACGCCTCTTCGTTGGTCTTACACGCGAGCGAGCTAGTGTGCGTTATCTTGGAGTCTCACGGTCGTGAATGCGAGTGCGAGTGAGATAAGAAAAGGATACTTCTCCCTTTCTATTTGTTTAGGCGATAGCGAGTCTTTTTGTTTGGGCCATCGATTTTGTCAAGTGTTCTGTATTATATATTTCTGATATTTTTTCATGCTGTAGGGAGAATTTTTCGTCTTGGCCATCGAGTGGCGAGCGTTTTGTATACGAGTGCGAGTGAGACAAGAAACCAATATTTCTCTCTTTCTAATTTTTTCTTCGGAAGCGAGAATTTTTCGTTTTGACGATCGAGTGTCGAGCGTTCTGTATATCTATATATATATCGGCATATAAGCGTGGCGTTTTTAAATCGAATCTTGATGATTATGGCACACCGTTTTTTTATTTATTGTCAAAAATAGTGAACCTTGATTAAAAGAAAAACAATAATTCATTTTAACAGAAACTATTATTATTTGGTCTACAAATTATGTATTTTAGGAAATTTTAAATTAAAGATTTGTTTTATTGTCTTATTATTGGTTTCGCAATTCGAACCCTGATCATCTCTGCTTAGCCAATTCCTAACCGTTTCTATATCTTCTATCCTGTTATCAGCGTTACCGAATCTTTTTAATTGTAAGTCTAATACGTCTGCGCGTTTTAACTGTAACAGTAGCCGGTTTAAATAATTACTTACAGTGACGAAATATAAATAGTAATATTTCGTTACACATATATACATATATATAACATATTGACGACATCAAGGATACACACAGCTTCGCTAACCATAGATTAATACACTACTACAGCTAAAGGAATAAGAATCAGCAAATAGCTTTTTTTTCGCAAACAGCTGAATATATATGCCATGTTTAACAGCACAATGAATATTTGCATAGACTAGTACAAGTGTGCAAAGTTTGAAACAAATCTTGATAGTGTCTCTCACTGATAGTTCCCTTGTTAGATTCAAATTGTTAGTTGCTGTAGAAAATTATTTTAAACGTTAATCGCATTATTTTAGGTAACTTGTTGAAATAGCTGAAATAAAATAGTTACCTTATTTAGTTTGACGATTTAGAATAAAAAAAAGAAATTATTTACGAAAGGATGTTAACGAATTTCGTCTTTTGATCATTTGCCTTCAGTGAGGAAACAAAAGCTGTGATTCTTAAAAATTAGAAATGAATAGGGATAGAAGAAGAGGAAGATACATATCACCACATGGCTCGAAAACGTGGGAATACTTCGCAATATTCGCTTGTAAGTTTATTTTTTTACAAATTATGTTAATAGATATTATAGAAGCAAAAATGTGAACATATGTTAATTCGAAAGCAATTTTAGGCACACTGTTGATAATATCTCTTGGCATTGTGCTAGGATGGAATTCACCAATGGTCGTGTTGTTATCATCACCAGACTCGCCAATTCATGATAATAAATTAAATATTGCAACTTTAACGGCTTTCTTATCAGCTGGTCAAATGCTGGCACCAGTGATAAATGTATTAGTAATTGACAAAATTGGAAGAAAATATACGATTTTATTGTGCGGTTTCCCACTCGTCGCAAGTTGGAGTATAATCTTAATGACAAGAAACGCATACGTAAGTTTTTCATTTTTACTTGTAACGAAGTAAAGATAATTTACAGTATTTTCGGTCATATGTGTATAATCATGTCATTCACCAAACTCTTCTTACCGTTCTAATTGCATGTCAAGACTTACAAAGAGGGCTCCATAGTTGTTACTTTTTTGACGTTTATGAAACTTTATAAATTTATATCGGTTTATATTGAGGTTATTTTGACACAAAGTGTACAACATGTAACATTATTGACATAAAGTGTAAATTTGTTTTCGGTTAGAATCATGATATTTCGAGTTAACATTTACTAGGAATCTCATAATTAGTTAAATAGAATCACCTAAGTATCTCGTTTCATATTGCAATTGTATAAAAGAATTATAAAAGATAATGTGGTACTATTGTGCAGGAGGAAATATGATGGTTGAGAAAATGTTTTCTCTCAAGATCATTTCTTTACGAAATTTTCGGGTTATTAATGTTTTTTTAAATGACATCCTATATTTCATACGATATTTTTGTAGATCATAATAATACGAATTTAATGACATATACATTTCGATCATTTATTCTCGAGATATATTTATATTTAAATATAATTAGAATATATTGTGAGGGTGAGAGAAAATTCGGAAGTAAACAAAGAGGTCGTGTTTTATCTCTCTCTTTCTCGTATGAACGAAAAGAAACTTACTTCTTAAAGAAGATTACCTTTACTGAAAAAATTGTGAAAAGTTTGTCAAGAACTTCAGTACTCGCTCGAAGAACGGTAATGAAGAAACAAATGCAATTAATGTGTAAGACACTCATACAAGCAAAAAATCTTCTCATGTACAAGAGACAATATTTCACAATTTTCTCGGTAAAATTCATCTGAAGGAGACAAATTTAAAAAATATAAAATAAACATATTAAAAATATAATTTTAACATTTTTAAAAAAGAGCGTGTTCAAAATTTTCGTAACTAGATATGCATTTTTTTTTATTTGTAATATTTTTCAAGTTATTTTACATGGGTCAGTATCAACTTTTTAATATTACCAGATTTTATACTCATAGAAAATTCATTAATTTTCTATATGTGCCCACGTAATTATGAAAGTGGTCTAAGTCATATATCTCTTGTTTCGAGATATTTAAATGATTACATTTGAACATTAAATGAATTCTATATAATATTGAAATAACAAACACTATTTAACTGTTGAAAATAATGCGTTTTCTCTTCCAGTAAAATGATTGATCATTTATGCAGAGAGAATAAGTTTTCTAATGCTCTAATACATCTAAAATCGCACAGCACATTATCTAGTTTATTCATTTTCAACCTAAATTGATGATCACTATACAGAAAAAATGAAACGAATTAAAATTAATAAATAATAATACATATCTTAGCTAACCTCAAAAAACTAATAATTAATAATACATACCTCAATTAATCTCAAAAAAGACTTTTATTATTAATATTTACGAATAACCAATGTTTTTGAAGATATTTTTGAAGATATTCACAGTTTTTTTAATATCAATCTCCACCGTATGTAATAATTATAATAAATAACATCAAAACACATATAAATAATTTTTATTTGTATCGATATATAAAACACATGTTGTGTATATAGAAATATCAGAATATAAATATCAGTCCGCACTAAATGTAAAGGAGATATACCGAATTACTTTATGCGTAAATTTGAGAATGCTTTGCTCGCGCATCGTAAATACCGACAGACTTCGTAGTGTCGATTTTCGTGTCGCTGTGCGTGCGCATCGAAAAAATTCACTCTCATCATTTCTTCCCAAAAGCACCAACAAAAGTATAACTTCAAAAATACATAATTAATCGTACAATATTGTGTCCGATCTATTAGCCTCTAAACTTTCTATAAAAATTGCTGTTATATACTTCGAAAAATATGCAGGGTGCAATGCGTTATTTAGTGCCATAAATTGATATTAGGCTTATTAATTGCAAAAATCATCAATACTTACAAGAAACACTAGAAGTAACGTTTGCTTTTAATATTAGAAGATTTCAAGTAAAATTAAACAATTTCAACAAACTGGTAGTGTAATCCCTAAAAAATGCAATAGAGTGAGAACTGTTATAAACAATAAAAATGTAGACAGTTTTACTGTATTAGCTGCAATTTTTTTGGATCTTCACATGAGTCGAAGGTACTACTTGAGATAATAACTCTCAAATCCTTTAAACATAAAAATTTCATACATATAACATAAGTTTCACCAAGAACTGTATCAAATTGATTTTCTACAGCGTTTTAAGTTTTGTCAGGGAGGATAAAGCCAATTGGAAAACGATAGAAAAGTTTTTAGAAAGGTCTTGTTTACAGATGAAGTTTCGTTTACAAGGTGTAGATAAATAAATTTAAGTAGCACGCATTATTAGTCTGTAGAAAACCCGTGATAAATGAGAGAAGATAATAAACAGAAAGCATAAACTGTGAATGTGTTGTGCGAAATCTTACCATCTATATTATGCAATATTTTTTAATGATATTCTTTTAGAACGTTTGTTAGATACTCCATTAAATATTAGACAACTTATTGTGTACAACATGTTAGTTTTTCCTTACATAATTCGAAGTATGCAACAGTAATCTTACAATGACATAAAGTTGCATCAGAGACAATATATTCTAATTATTTGTAAATGTAAATATCTCGAGAAGAAAGGATCGAGATTACAATACATATTTTTAAAGTCATTAAACTCTTATTATTATGTTCTACAAGAATATCGTCAAAAATATAGGGTTCCATTTAAAAAAACATCGATAATCTTAAAATTTCGTAAAAAGAATAACTTAGTGGACAAATTCTTTTAACTATTATGTTTCCTCCTCTCAATAGTGCCACTTTTTCGAATATAATTTTTTCATACACCTGTAAGCAAAAAAGATATTTAGGTTATCTCATATTGCTGAAACACTTTGTATATATACATGTATATATATATATATATATATATATATATATATATATATATA